CATTGACAGCATTGACCCGCCTTGCGCCGTGAGTTCTTAGTTTCCTGGGAAGAAATGAGAATTCTGGAAGAGAACGCAGTATGGAGGGTACTATTATCTGCAAAGCTGTGGATGGGGCAAGTTGTTACTCCCAACAGATCATTGATATGAAGCAAGAATAATGTTGGTGCCAAAATTGATCCTTGTGGAACGCCGGAATTGATGCCAATGGTATCAGACGATACCTTGCCTACCTACAATATTGGCCGTAAGTGAAAATATTGAAATAGTGAGACTCATTTCATATTTGAAAATCTACTAGTGGCGCACCACAAAGAACTTTATGCAACGAAAAAGGGGCTTACTCCTTGAAAAATATCTCCCTGTAGATTCAAACAAACATTCGACTTACTGTATGATTTGCATTTTGGTTAGAAGAATGTGAATTCAAACTCCCTTTATATATCGATAACGAACCATCTTCGAGCATATCTTCTTTCGAAGTGGTAATAGTATTCCACAGAGTTCTATCGATTCATGGATCATTATTCAGGATGTTCCAGAATGAAGTTCGTTCACTCCGGGAGATGATTCTGCAGATCAAAATAAGGAAAAATGTTCCTATCCAACATGTGTCCGAAAATGCTTCCTAAGGGCTCTAGAGCCCTTTGAAAGTATAAGTCCTTAAGTGCAGTTTTCTTCAATTATTATCATTGTTATCGTTGATCTAAGAATCATGGTATTTTGTAGCTAAGAGTGATTTGGTATTACCAAAGATGTATTGCGAATCGTTTCGTGTTACCAAAAATATGATTCAATAAACAGGGAGGTACGAAACTTTCAATATTTATCTCATTTCTACTATCAGAACATGATATTCTTCGAGTATGTTCACATAAAAAAGTATTCTTTTCGAAATTTCATACACTGTTGGAAATCAGTTGATCAAAAGAAAATGTTTATATCTAGACTCGAACTATTGTTGAAATTGAGAAAGATTTCAACAAATCTTGAACATAATTTGATGAAATAACATTCGACTAATAATGTATACATTAAACAGTTACTCATGTGAAGGTATATAAGATTCAATATATTGAAATCATCGCAATTGTTGATTTCACTTTGTACTATTGTTTTTTGACATTTAGACAATTCGAAGAATTGTTTGTCGGTATAAAACCTATGTGTTCTTAATAAAAATACAACAGAAAAATAGGAATTGAAAGAAGATATCTTGGCATTTCAGATAGCTTTGTTATTTTTATTTTACAAATACCTTTCAGTTGTTTCATTGATGGAAGCCTGAAATTGACATCTTATACCAATGACAGGATTGGAGGTTATAGTAGTAGAAATATCAAAAAAAATAATTGATAAATTCATCAGAATCTTTTCAACAATAAACGAAGTTGTTGAAAGTGACAACTGATGTTTAACAGTGTAAAATGAACTGTTTTCGAGAAAAGGGTTATTTTTTATTTTGAGGTTCAAGAAATTCCACTCAGTAAATATAAGTTTGTAGAATTTAGTGAATTTCAATTGCAGATATTTCCTCAATGAATCAACATCACGATTAACTCTCATAAAAAAAGTAGGAAGGTGAAGTATTGAATATGAAATTCAAATGTTGCTATAATAAAAACAGACGGCGGAAATCATTGAGAATTTTTTTGGAATCAAAATGAGAAATGAAACTCTTCTCGAAAATAGATCGTCTCACCGCATAGTAGAAATGAGATGAATCTTGAAATGAAAAAAAAAATTGACACATATGTCAGAGATCATATGTGAAAAAATGCCAAACTGCAGAATAATTCTTGCAAAGGGTTGTTTATTGGCGAATTCCATTGACAGGAACTGGTGGAGTGTTCCCACGAAAAGGGATATCCTGTAATGTTCAGGGAACATCCTGAGAACCAAGGAAAATGAGGTAGGAATTAAAATTCCCAAAATAGAATTTGATATCACTTTTTTATATTTAAACCCAATATGTCATGAAAATCAGCCAATAAATTTTGTTTATTTGAACGGCATTTATCATGAGAAATATTGCTCGTACAAACAAATGTTATGGAATTTTTTGTGTAAAATTATCTCATCTTAGATTGTGTGTATACAGTGTGTTACAATTTCCATGGGCAATTTGAAAATATTTTTTTCTCATGATATATTACTAAAAATTATCTACTTTGTCGAACACGAAAAAATTATCAATCACACTTTCTTAGCCTACTGCGATAAACAAAAACTCCAGAAAATTCGATCAGAACGAATTAGGCATTTTTTAACAACAATTTTAATGTAGGCAATCGATTCGGACTAGTCACAAATACTCCTATATTCTCTTATATCAATTCACAAAACAATATCTCATTTTTCATCAATGTTACAATTTTTGGATTATTGCAATTTTCAAGTCAACGTGTAAAAAAATTCTTTCAATTATTTGAATTTGAATTATATCAGGCATGATGGTAGTCAGGATTAGATCATCTGGATACAGAGTGAGATGAATAACTTATAAAATCACTGAAATGAAAAAATAACATCAAAAATTAGACGAAGAACAAAACAGCAATAGTTCCTTACAAGTTCAGATTTATGTATTTTTGATTAGATCTCCCTCATTCTCTATTCACTTTTCATATATCTTTTCACACGTTATTTTCAACTCCTTCAATGTTTAAGAAGCCATGGAAAAGGAAAGAGTTGTGACAAATAAACAGTTTAAAGATAGATACCACCAAAAGAAATGATCAGAGTTGAAAATAACGTACGAAAGGAATATGAAAAGTGTGTAGAGAATGAAGGAGATTTGATCAAGAATACAAAAATCTGAACTTGTAAGGAATAATTGCTGTTTTTTCCTTTGTCCAACTTTTATCCATTATCTAGTATATATTCATTTCTTGCTGGAATATCTAAATATTTTGTGATTTAATCAGTTATTTATCTCACTCTGTAGCCTGATGATCTAATCCTGACTACCATCATGCCTGATTATCATTCTAATTCAAAGGATTATTATTCACGGTGATTCGAAAAGTGCTATTCATTCAAAAATTGTAACGTTGATGAAAAACACCCTGTGTAAGATATTATTGTGAAAACTGATATTGGAGTATTTGTGACCAGTACGAGTCGATTGCTTACATCGAAATTTTTTTATTAATTCTTGCTGGAGTTTTAGTGATCGTAAAGTAGGCTAAGAAATTGTGTTGATAATTTTTAATTGCTTGTAAAAGTAGATAATTTTGAGTGGTATATTGTGAGAACAAACAATCTCAAAATCACCCTAGTAATACGAAAGTACAGGGGTGGGGTGGACTCTCACTGTAGGTAGATTTGTCATTAAGGGAATGTTTACCGAGAAAAATCAGAAACTCCATTTTTTAGCATCTTTAAAGTGTTCCCAAATGTTATGCGTACACGCAATCGTAGGGAAAATTGAGGTACTATTCACACCAATAAATACCCGAAAACACATTCAAACCTTCTGAATTATAAATTATTCCGTATCAAAATCCAAATTTCAAGTGGACTACAAGTGTCGTGATTCTAGGATGGAAGATATAGCAAATATAATCGAAGAAAGCTGCATTCAAGGACTTTCAAAGGACTCTAGCGCCCTTAGGAATAATGGGCTTATATCACAAAAAAATTTTATTTCATAATTCGATAGAAATCACCCAAACTAGGTCACCACCGCAAACCATTTCTTTCTGTGAGCTCCCTAGGTTTTATAAAAAATTATTGAAATTTCCGATTTTTCGGACCTCTGAAAACGAGGCGATGTTGTGACGTCAAAACCCTAATACTGAAACAAGACTATTCCAGATAGATATGAATGATACATGATTTCTGACAGAGTGAATTAGCGCGAGATCACAGTTGAAAGAATTACTATATCAGTTGCCTCAGTCTCCGTCGGCCGTATGGTATTTTCTTGTAACTATGGCGAGATGAGGTTTCTACGTCATAAGAGAGCCCGTTTCCAGAAGGTACTATTATATATGTCCAAAAATATAACATTCCAGTTAATTTTTCGATCGAATTATGTCGTCAATCATTATTTATGTATAGAAGGATCATTATAAACATGGTTTGAGTTCAAAGTTCTACTATTTCCCCCCATTTCCGGACACATGTTGATAGGCAAATCCCGTTTTAATTTTCATCTGCAGAATAACCTCTCGGAGTATACGAACGTTATTCTGGGACACCCTGTATAGTCATTAAAACTTGATCACACTCAGGAGAGGTGGAAGAACTCACACTCACAACTCCACTACATAAACAATTCAATAATGAAAATGGGTCATGGACATAAGGACATGTTTCGAAGAATTAATCCTTCATCAACATTTATAAAAAGAAAATCTGTAAGAAAAAACAACGCTTATGTTAGTTATATCAGTTTCAGAGTATTGATTCAAAATCTTGATGTTCCTACCATTATTGGTGGAAAAAGATTACTTGAAAAACCTGAAAAAAAATCTATTTCAAACCGCACATAGTGCGGGTGAGTAACTGTGAGGGAAAAAACATGTCATTATGACCATGACCTTTGGTCATTGTTAAATTGTTTATGTGGTGGAGTTGTGACTATAAGTTCTTTCACCCCTCCTGATTTATATCACCTCCACTGTAAGTTATGGATCAACTACGTTCCTTGATCACACTGGTATAGTTCAGGAATAACATTATCTTTTCGATGAATCCAATATAATGGATTAGTAACTTCATTCATTTTTTTTTTCATTTCAGTTCTATATACAGAAAGAAATCACACTTCACTAGGTTTATCAGAAAACTAGAAAATAGGTTCATGAATCATTGCGGAAAATTATTCTTGTACTAATGTCTCGTATATGAAATTGGGATAGGTTAGTTGTTGTGTTTTGCTCCAAGACACTTAGAACGAGAATGCGACATTGCCATCTGAATAAACTCTAACTATCTGATTTCTTTCTCTAAATGGTAGATTTAATCAATATTACAAATGTGGGTAAACTCACCTTCGTCTTCCTCAAAGTAGCTGTCTACTTTTCTCATCATATTTCCCAGCAGCGACATTATTCTTCCTGCAATGGATATATCGTTTGATGAAATAAAACCCACTATTCAATGAGACGATTATGGAAATCCCATGAACAATAACACTAGCACTTCTACATTTAGCATTCAGGACCAACAAGATGGTATTATCAAACTAAGCGTCATTGCCAAACACCTAAAAAGACGTTAAATGCAAATGCCAATAATATTGACACGTGCATCGAATTTGGTTGGTTAATTAGTCTTTTCATCTCGTAAGTATGCGTTTCCATGCGATATTTCGAATACAGTGCGCCACAATTGAAGTGATACCACCTATAGAATGGGGAGTTTCCTGGTCGCTAGTGGTCATCGAAAAAGTTTATAAATACTCAGTAGTATATCTCTACTATCTCTAGCTATAGAATGACCTAGGGTTCCTTGATGGAAATTGACGTTAAAAACTATTACTGCGACATATCATCTGTGAGAGAAAAAAAAGTTAATTGTAACTAAGTCATAGTGATCTATGACCTACATTTGAAAAACTAAAGTTGGTGCTGATATCTCAAATTCTAGATGAGTTGGTATAAATTTCATATTTTTTTCGAAATCACTTTGAAAACTGCCATCAGAATGTGAAATTCCTATTCAAATATTTTTATAAATGAAGAAATTACGGAGGAGACAAGAAAATGATCAAAATCTGTTTTTTGCGTATAAAACAAAAACGAATAGATTTTATCAATATATTTTTTCACATTATAGTTGGCCTTGACAAACTCCACATTTGGTGTCATTTAACCGACCTCGTATCTCTCACCGTTAAAGAGATTCCCATGGTGAGCATGGTAAGTAGGACACACTGTATATCGGTCAGACAGGTCGTACGTTCAATCAGAGTATTCATGAACATACGATGATTTTTTTTTAAAGAAAACAAATCCAACATAGGTACGCCAACCATATTATTATATTAAAAGAGAATAATAGTTTTGATGATAATTTCGAAATTTTACACGTAGAAGATAAAGAAATGAAACTCATTTATTTTGAATCATTAGACATCAACAAACTCAAAAATTCAGAACATCTTACTTAACGATCAACTAGACCTCAACAGTTGACCACTGTTGAATTTGTTTCCAAAGTAGATAGTGAAATATGTATTTGCCATCAACCCTTTCAAGTTAATCCGGTACACCGTATTTTAAGGTAATTTCAATCCTTGAGGTTGGGAAAGAAGGATATATAAAAGTTGGGCAAGTCAAGATAAGTTCATTGTACCAGTATTTCACCTGATGAAGCTACTGTGTTAGCGGATCATGTCGTGTGATTGAGAAGTTTGTGATACCGGGTGACCAGTTATATTCTGACCCATTTCAAATGCTTATATCTCTGAAACCATTCAAGTTATCGTTGTGCAGTTTGGACTAGTCTTTTTTGATATTTTTCGAGTTTCTTTTCACAGGTTCACCTTCTCTCTTGAACATCCGGTTCTACCGGAAATAAACTAGCCATTATTCAGGTATGGGGCAACTTTTTTATTTCATTGAATCACCCTGTATATTTTTGCACATTCAGAAATACTGGTCTTTTCTCTTTCTAACAATGTATAACAACTATCAGAGTTATAACTGTTTGAAACAACTACTGCATGTGGAATGGTTTAATGAGATTTTGCAATGTAACCAAAGTCGTCTTTGCATGGAAATCCTGATCACAACACATGAAATGCCAGATTAGATGTGTCAAATAAAGATTGTCGAGCATTTGTACTTTCTTCGAGTTGAAAAAATGTTTACTTTGACTGAAAAAGCAAATGAACTCATCATAAATCTGCATCAGATTTATACTCAATATACGGTAATTCAGCATTTCAGGATAACATCCTAATATGCAGTAGATGCTTCAAAGAGTTATAACTCCGATAGTTTTCTAAGAAAACATAACTTGTTATATATTGTTAGGAAGAGAAAAGACAAGTCTTTCTGAATGTGCAAAAATATACAGGGTGCTTCGATGAAATAGTTATCCTACACCTGAATAATGGCTAGTTTGTTTCCGGTAGAACCGGAAGTTCAAGAGAGAAGGTGAACCTGTCAAAAAAAACTTGAAAAATATCAAAATAGACTAGTCCAAACTGCACAACGATAACTTGAATGGTTTCAGAGATATAAAGCATTTGAAATGGGTCAGAATATAACTGGTCACCCGGTATCTTATCGTTTGTAAAGTTTTTACATTTGCCATGGATTTCCATCAAGTAACGGCCAAGTTAATTCAAAAAATTTAATTGAATTGGTATTGTTTCTATTAAGAATTGCGATACATTATTGTTGTTCCTGGTGAGGTCCAAGTTTAAACGTCGAATGAATAGTATCAGGAAATCAATTGACCTTGATCTGAAAAAAAGTCTTCAGTGCATACTCTTAAATAAAATTTCAGGCAAGAGCCCCAGATTTGTCTTGCTCCCTGGGCCCACAGCAACCTTAGTCCGCCACTGTCGCGGCTGGCGTTTTACTCGTATTGTAAAATTTCAGTTGAGTTCAAAATTCGTAGGCACCCGATACTGAATTGAATACATGATAATTTCTAGGAATGAATTAGATGATGATTCTGATCTTTCGGCAAAAGAAGCTGAGCTTCCCTAATATGGCCTCCAATATTGACATAAGTGACATAACAATGTTGTACGGTGGAAAATGGATGACAGTGATGCGACGTTTCAAAATATCAACACCGCACTGAATAATTCCTGAGGAATTTATGCTCTCATAATAAAATGCACAATAATTCTATGGGCTCCATTTTAATTTCATATCCACTCTGTTCAAGGCCTCTCCATCTATAATCACTCACTCAGTCATATAAAATAAGCAATTTCTGAAAATGTTATGTTTTCATCATCGATAGAACAAGTGTTGCGGAAATCTGTCACATTAATAGGTACTCATTCAGAAAGCTAATAGGTTATGATTAGGCACGCTTAAAACATGATAATATATTATGATGGTATACTATACTATAAAAAAACATCAAATACCAACGGCAAAGCTCTGGAATTCGTTGCCAATGCAAGTATCCTCAAGACCTCATAACCTCCAAAGGTTCAATGAAAAGTCCAACACCTATCTCCTCTCCCTCTTCTCCCTAGAAAAGCTCGATGTTCTTATAGGAATTTCCTTTAGTGCGCTTCAAGAGATAAAAAAATAAACAACCTCTGTCGAGATCTCCATTCAATTCATAGCACTCAATAGTCGCTCTGTATCTATATTCTATATGCATGGAAAATTTTACCAAATTAAGATTTTTATATTCCTGATGATGAGTTCATGAAGACATTTTTCAGGAGAAATAAAATTTCACTCGAGAAAATTACCTTGAAAGAATTGATTGAGTCAGGTTTACGTTTTTCGAACTGACTGAATTTCTTGGATTTTATCACGAATGCCGGATGAGATGATAACTGAAGACAATTTTTTTTTCAAATTAATTACTCAGAGAACTTTTTTTCAATTTCAATGAACCTCAGTGATGTTTCAACACAGAGCTTTTTTTGGTATTCGGAAGAATAGTTCCAGTGGCGTCGCAGAGTGGGCTACAGTATTATATTATTTATAGTAAATATTGTACGCCACTGGTTTTCCCTATTATATTGAACGATATTGAAAGTACAACTTCACTATACTTTCGTATATTGCTTAATTTTTGAGGAAACAATGATATTATACAGGGTGGGCCACCAGTAACGCCTCGGTCTCTAGAAGGCTAACCACTTATCTTCTTGGAATTCTTCCTCTCTAGGAAGTTGCATGTCAACATAGGCTACCATTTAAAATTATTTCGAAACATACAGGGTGTCCCCAAAAACCATAAAACACTGAAGTTAAACTTTTTTCTATCGAACACCCTATATATTATTTCATTTTGAGATTCTCCCTGATGAGCTAGGGTGTGAAAAATCGAGATTTTCCAAGTTCAAGAATTTTTTGTGTCGAAACTATTCATAATTGGGGTAAAACTGCATTTAGCATGCGATGGGTTTTTTTTCGAAAATTTTTTTTGGTACTCACGTATTTTTGTCTGAAAAACACGAATTTGATAATGAAAATGTGAACAAACCACTATTTATCGAGATATATCAAAAAAAAGTTCGAAATTTCGACTCCTTTTTCCCCTTGCGTTGGATGCATTTTCATGTACTTGCTCTTCTTATTTTGTCATTGGACATGTATATACTCATGATGTACTTCAATGACACATTTTTATACAGAAAATTCAACAGGAAATATGATTTTTATGGTGAGTTTTTCCTATTTAGTGAGCAAGCATACCAGATGACGGCCATTTTCATTTTATCCATAGGCAATCCAAATACGAGATGTCAAATGTCAATAGATTGCTTTGGAATGACATTACACACGCCATTATTAATTTCAAATGATATTCTTCCTTCTTTTCAATAAATATGGATAAATCACAAGAAAATCATATTTCTAGTTGACTCAATAATAGAAAAAAAATGTGTCTTACATTGTGATATATATAAATTGTCCAATGATGAAAAAAGAAGGGTGAATTGTTTAAAATTCAATCCAGAAACTTTATAGTGAAATATCTTGATAAATAATGGTTTGTTCACATTTTCATTATCAAATTCGTGTTTTTCAGACAAAAATACGTAAGTACCAAAAAAAAATTTTCGAAAAAAAACCCATCGCATGCTAAATGCAGTTTTACCATAATTGGTCAAAACGGCTCACATGTCCCCATCTCAACTTTCGATTAACTATCTACTGATATTTAATTGGGACATATACCGGGTGATCAAGATTCTGAATTCTGCACCACCCTGTATTTGTTTCAATTTAATGTCAGTAGATAGTTGATCAAAAGTTGAGATAGGGACATGTGAGCCGTTTTGACCAATTATGAATGGTTTAGACACAAAAAATTCTTGAACTTGGAAAATCTCTCTTAACTATCTGTACATTATATTAATATTATTAAATTCATATATCTGCTATTGTTATTGAATTTCTAA